GGTACATTGATAGGAAAAAGGTGAGATGCTTAACTACTTGGAAGACGTGGTGGGCAGCTGTGCTACCATAAGGCAAGAAATCAAGATTAAGAAAGTTCGATCCATATGAGTTTGAATTTGTCGTAAACTTTGGTTTTAACAAATTCACATGGATAGGAACACATACACCGTTTAAATCTAAGTGTCATAAGATTTCCTCCTTCATGAAAATGATTGTGAGAAAATGCTTTCACTACGAAAGATTTTAAAAGATAGTGATTGTAAAATTGCATTCTCGAATTCGATCATGGTTACGCATCCCTTTCCATAATTTGAATTGTGAGGTTTGGCAATTAGTCTTAATTGTTAAGACACACATATGAACTATCTAAGGCAAAAGTGTATAAGTTCAGAAGCCTTGATAAAAGATTATCAAAGCACTAAGTATTAGAAACATGAACTTAAGAAATTCAATAAGTATTGTTTTTCTGAAAGTTAAGATGTTTATGAATACATGTCGAAGCTAGTGGGAGCATAAGTGTTATGTTTTATAATAATCATCATGATAGTGGGAGCATAAATGTTATGATTGTATGATTATTAAGGCACGTATTGCATAGTTGGCAATATTAATTATAGAAAACAAGAGTCATACTTTGCAAAGTTGTAAGGTTGTATAGTTGTTTTGCTATAATTAAGGGAGAGAATATTATGCTTCATTTCAAATCTAAAGGATTAGGTTGTGGAATGTTAATAAATTTAGTCAAGGGTACATAGTGTGTTCTTAAAAGTTTCGATTATGATTACGGCATTCCTCTTCACAATTCGAATTTTGAGAACATAGCAAATAAAACATTATGCGTCGTGTCCCATACGCTTCGAGTATAGGATCGATTGCAAATGATTTAATGTTTACCATTCTAAAATTTTCCAAATGTCTAGCGCATTTAGAGGGAAAAGGGACTAGAATCGGTTTTGACTAAAATAATTAAACAACTATCAAAGGACAATCCAAAGTTCGACGAGGATTGGTCGCTTGTGAGTAGTTGGAAGTATAGTATTGGAAATTATGGAAATGTTTCCATATTGGATGGACAATATCGACATCATTACGAATAGATAAGATTCTATTAAGAAATTAGTTGTCATATGGAAAATATGGAAGCGTGTCCATATTGGGAAGTAAATATTGAAAATCTATGTCTAGATTAGAAACCTTTATGCAAAAGGATGTTCAAAGGAATGTACTTTGAGTGAGAGACATCGTATCTAAGGAATTGTCTTGTAACAATCTCCGATAGAGGACTTTGTAATATCATTGGCAATAGTCTTTGTGACTTTGGTGCAGTGACATTACGAAAGGATCGTTGCATAAAGTGTTAGAATCTAGCATATTCTATAAGTAGCAAGAATTTGATATTCTTACACTTAAGAAAATGGATTTGGAGTTGTAAAATGAGAAGGATTGGAAACGTGTTCAATTTGTCTATTTCACAAAAGTAAGAACCATAGGTAAACATTGTGTGCATGCTAGGAGCATGGGACAAGTGTTGGAATTCAAGTAAGAAGTTGATTACCCGAAACGACAAATAATGAGTAATCGATATGGTGATAAATAAAACGTGTTTTGTTTATACTCAAAGGTTTGAGGCCATATGGGATTAGTATTATTCTTGTGTTTCACCTTGCATGTTTTGACTTCCAGAATAATTGAGTTTATTAAGAATAATCGAATTATTCAAACGGGCCACAGTCGTTCATATGTTGGAAGTAGATATGAATGAAGACTGTCATGAATTGGTGTGTGGATTGTCTAGAAAAGTATTAGACATAAGCAAATGTTTGCTGCAACGTTCATGAGTGCTTATGAATATGATTTGAGCATTGGATTAAACCCACGCTCACTTGGATCACTATCTCGAGTGATTAGTGAGACGATAACATCTTATATTCTTGAAACCGAGATGTGTGAGTTGTATCTTGCTAATCGGTTGCACATTGATAATATGTAAACGCACTAGTAACTTGGTGTTATAAAACATATTGTTGTGTGTGATTTGGTTAGTGAGTGCAAGCAAGCATTGTATCAAAGTTTATCCGTTCCTTTTATTCAAGAATAAAAGCGATATCTTTGGCCCCTCGATGGTTTAGTGATGACATACGTAAATGCTCGGCCGGGCTAGGGCTAATTTGATTTGTTCAATTAGTCTGTCGTCATAAATCGGAAATCGAGATATAGTACAAAGAGAATGATTTGAAATCATATCTCATACGATATCTAGAATGGAGGAATATATGATCCCTTATCTAAGGACACGCGTATCTGATATGATCAGAGTTGACAAACGGCTTTGGAAAGCTACGATTGCAGATCGGGATCTGAAGTCATACGTAGAATAGTTGTTAGACTTATCCAAGTGGGAGACTGTTGGATTAGTGTCTAAGTCCATAACTATTTTGGTATGTACTTGACCCGATGGTGCATGGTCCTTTTGGGTTGCCTTCACTAAAGCAACTTGATAGGATGAATTATGGAGAGTAAGGATTATATATGATTTATTAATATATTATGGGAATAATATATTAAAGGAGAAATCATATTGTTTAATTAATATTAGTCAATAATTAATTGGTAATTAGTTTTGTGACTAAAAGAGATTAATTAAACTTAAGGGACTGGAATTGTAATTATAGGATAATTGCAATTTGGGCCATGGATTGCCTTGTATTAAGGGATGGACGAATTCTAATGGGAAACCCATAAGGAAATCGTCCATGGGCTTAATTAAAGGAGTCTATGGGTTGCTTAGGGCTTAAGCATCAAAATTAGGGTTTCCTTGTTAGATAACCCTAATAGCCCAACTATATAAAGACCCCTTAAGGCTCAAAAACGTGGCTAATGTTCTTGTAAGGGTTTACACACGTTTTGGCAGCCTCCAACCTCTCTCCTCTTCATCCTCTTGCTTATGGTGTTTGTGAACCATTAGAGGAGTGACACTTGTGACTCTAAGCCTTCCAAAGTCAATACAAGGAGGAATTAGGATTGTTATTGCTACATAACAATCAAGGTATGATCTTAAACCTAATTACATATTAATATGATTACTTGTATGTTAGAATTAGGGTTTATAGTCTTGGATTCAAAGCATGTACAATAGAGAAACCTAGATCCAAGCATTAGGGTTTGTATGAGCACATAGGATGTCTTATGACTAAAACCCATCAAGTTGTTAGACTTATCCAAGTGGGAGACTGTTGGATAAGGTGTTTAAGTCCATAACTATTTCTGGTATGTACTTGACCCGGTTTGACATGGTCCATTTGGGTTGAATGGCATCATGCACTTGGGTAGACTAACATGAGAGAAAACACACTTATGGTTTATTAATATATTATAGGTTATTATATATTAATAATATTATTTAATTAGTATTGATCAAGAATTAATTTAGAATTAATTTTGTGATCAAAAGAATACTAATTAAATATATGGACCAATTGTGTAATCATCCATTTCTTTAAATAGTAGGCTTGTAGTCCATGGTGTATTGAGTTGGGCTAAAACCCATGAGATGCTCCATGGTGGATTTGAACCCATGGATCCAAGAAATGAAAAGTCATGTCATTTTAGGTTTACATGGTGTAACCCTACTTGTGACACACTATAAATTGGATGTGTTAGCTACCAAAATCGGCCACTAGTGAAGAACAAAAGGGCATAGCTAATTTCTAAGTGTGTTGCATTTCTCTCCAAGTTATTCCAAGTGTACTTGGTGTTGTGCGAAGCATTTGAGGTATCACATTTGGGGTGCTAGGCTCACAAGGTTCTCAAAGGAATTCCAGCAACAAAAGGTATGTATTTCTTACTAGCTGTCGTGTTAAAAGTTCCCCATGTATGCTAGATAGGATATGAACCTTGGAAAATCAAATTTGCATGTATTATGGTTAAAAATAGATAGGATTCTGGGTGGGACTTGGCCCTGAAGGTGTTTAGGAGAGTTTTAGATCATTCATTCAACTTTCAGTCATGACAAAAATTGGACAATGAGTTCTTCGCCATGGACTTAGTAATGAAATATGGAAAAATTTGTGCAATTCTGAGAGGTTGTAACACCGTAAAATTTAAGACAATTTTCACATTTTAAAACACATTTCCAAACACGTTCATTAATAAAATCTCATTGTATCATATCATTGTTCACAAAACATTTCCCAAGATCAAATCATAATAAACTCCGCGGATGTGTGTACAAATCATGCCGACGCCTTCCCGCGACCATCACTGGTACCTAAAAGAGTGTATTATATGATTTTTGGGATAAAATTTTCATACACCCGATTTGCCCATATGATAATTTTATAAAATCCTCATATACCATTAAAGTTGATCATATTTACATACATGTCATTTTTGATCTAGGTTATTAGAAGTTTTGATCTAACGTTTCACTTTTAGTTTTTGTGTTCTCGAAAAACTATAGGTTGATCACCCCCCCCCCCTCTCTCTCTCTATATATATATATATATATATATATATATATATATATAGAGTTAGGTTCGACTTAATTTTGTGAGGATGTGAGACGCAATCCCAACCACTCATTTTGTAGATAAAAAACATTTTTAAAATACAAAATAATTTAAAATTTTTGCTTTTTTTTTTTAAATATTATTTGCATCATTTATATTTTCCAAAATAAATAAATAAATAAATTATCATTTTTTTTGAAATATCAATGAAATATTCTTGTAGAATATTAGAATATTTTACATATCTGACAAGTTTTAGTAGAATACTAAAATATTATAAAATTCTAAAATCCACATTTTAATATTTACAGTACATATTAAAAATAAACAATATTTTTATTTATTTTTAGATAAATAAAATAACGAAAATAATAATTAATTTTTTTTTTTGATTTTTCGTTTTACAGACCCACAAAATTAACATTTTCTGATCAATGTATATATAATATAATGTGAAGTTTCGTATATAGTGTATATACCCAATAGGCCAACAGTTACTTACTCAGGCCCATTAATATATGAACATCACAACGTTTAAGGCCCGCGCCTGCATCCCTCTTCCTTTCCCTCCCCCTCGCCGTCGCTTCCCGCATCCCTGAATTTTCTCCGATCAAGACCTCCAATGGCGTCTCCGATAGATGGACAAGGTACGTCCTCTCTGTGATTCTCGTACACGCACGCATTTATGAGTTTACAACTTCATAGTTTGAAATCTTTTGCGTTAGGGCCTACTTTTTGACACTTTCCCTCTGCAAGCTAGAGTTGAATTTTCAAAATTTTGATCATGCTCGCTGTGAAACAACATGGCGCTTTTCATTTCTCCAAAACCTACTAAGAGGGTGTTTGGCTAAGTTTTTTTCAAACTTATTATCAGTTCCATATTTGAAAATTGGCCATACCCCATACATAATAAAACCTTCGACTTCAACCACAGCGTTTATACTTACGACTCCATCGCGTCTGCTCCTCACGTCGACTCCTCCCCTGCTCGCCGCCGTATTCCATCGCCTCACCTGTGAAGCCAGCGGCCGGAGACCTTTGCACCCCACAGCTACACCGTCGCACCCCACCGTAGGTTCCATTTGTCTTCCTTTTTTTCTGCTTTCTTTTGAAATCGACAATACTGATACTGACTGCAAGGTTATCAATGTCGTTCGTGATGATGTGATGCCTATTGCTTATTTTGGTTGTTCGTATACAAAACTCGTGTTTGTTCACTTGCTGTTCATGTTTCTAATTGTTTGTTGTTTGGGTTCATGGATTCATGTCAATAATCCATGTTCATCTAGATTTCTCGATTATGAAGTGTCTTGAGTTCTTTAGTCTTATGGCTTATATTTCTTCCGAACCAAAGTTTTGATGATGAAAAAACCGCTCAAAGTTAATTGAAGGATAGAAATCAGATTGCTCAGAATGATCAGAAGATTAGAAATCAGATTGCATGCAAGTTGTTCGATCAAATGCCTGAGAGGGATTACTTTTGTAATATGCATGTTTTCACTGATCAGTTACATGTTTAATATATTCATGTATTGGCTGAATTGTTTTCTCTTGTTGTTTTGTGTGTTTTGGGCCAATGTTTTTACATGTACCAATTTAGAGTTTCTCTACATGAAAATAAAGTAGAAATTGTGTATTACATTGGCAAAGGGGATAACTATCTGCCTTCACATTTCTTAGGTACATGATATTGCTAACATATGTCTATGAATAGCTGAGGACATGGATGCTCAGTCTGAAACCATTGAAGCACGATTGCAATCTTTCCTTAGTCAATTCCAGTCAGAATTAGGTGTTCTTGATAGAATCATCCACAAAAATAAAAACCAGCATCGCAGAAGCTCATATTTCCAATACCTGTTGAAGGTATTGCTTCATGTTTTCTAAACCACTTTTAGTTCTTATCTGATCATGGATAAACTCTAGTTTCAGTGAACTGCACATAAGTTTATGTTATGTGTGCTATATCTGGTTTATGTAACCAGAGTTCTTTTGCAAAGTAGGTGAGAAGAGATTGCAAGCTTCTTCAATCAACTAACTTGGAGGAAATTGTTAACTCTTCGTTTCTTGTCATCAATGGGAATCGACCTAAGCAAAAAGTTCAGCTCTTGGAAAGGTATTAATATTATTACTAAAGAAAAACTTATTTTGCTCTATATATTATATACTGCAATCTGTTTGAATTCAAGTTGATACTTTTATAATTCATAGTTTAAAGAGAAGAAAATGTGATGGTGTTAAACATAATTTTCTGGTTCGACTTCAGGGTGCTGCACGTTTACTTTCACAGGTAATTCTTACAAAATTTATATGTTTTAAGCTCTTCATTTAATAGAATTTAGCTCCATTCATTAACATTCAATATCTGTTTTTGTTTTTTCTTTTTGCAGATGGTTGAGCCAATGGTGAAGGCAGCTATGTATCCTACCTTATATTTTGACCAAATGAAGTGTTTTAAGTGGAAACTGCATAATACGATTTTTTTTTCTCTTTTTTTTTTTTTTGTTATTCATACATTTTTTATTGTTGATCTCCTTGACATTGGAATAGAGAGATATCTACTTTGCTTGCTCGATCCTTTTTTATGGGATTCTCCATGACTGTGTTGGCTATACTTGCACGTCTTCGAGTTTTAACTCAGCAAGTAAACTTTATAATGATTATTATTATTTTTTTATATTTTTATATTTTGGGCTTAATTCCTTAATCCTTATGCATACTAGTTTTTTTTATTTTGTTTCGACAGATATTACTCGATGTTGTTTTAGTCTTCAACATGGTTTCTTCTGTTTCACAAAAGCAGCAGTCCGTGAAACTTAACCAAGAAGGAATTGAGGTATTTCCTTTGTTGTATTTCTGTTTTAATGTAATTTTATTTAATTTTTTGATTAATATAATCTTTTTGTGTGAGTGACATGTAGGTCTTTAGGGAATATTACCCGAAAAATGAGCAAGAAGTTGTGTTTTTGGAATGTGTATGGGAAACAGATAAATTTGTTTTAGTTGAGAGGAAGAGTGAATTGGATAACAAAAATCCAGAGGCAACAAATGTTGATGTCATATGTGAAGAAGGTTTATCAACAGTGGAATATCAAAGCATTGAAACTATTCTTGGAGGTAAACAAAACTCTCTTTGTTTTTTTTTTCCTTATATATTTTTCAAACTACAATGGTGTAATATAAAGAAACAAAATTATGATATGCTATAAATATAATAAACAAATGAACGAAAGTATGTTGCTATTTCTTGCATTTAGCCCAAAAACCGGTGGATATAACAGAAGACAATCCTTCTGAAGAAGACCCTGCCACCATTAAAGCGGACAATCTTTCTTCAGTAGAGAATCTTCTTACTCACGATTGCATACAAGATAACGATCAAAATGCTGAAAAAGATCATTCAGAGCCTTCAAGCAACAACAAAGAACAAGAACAAATTACAAGTTTGAAATTGTTGGATAATAATTTAGATTCTTTTAAACCTAAACCCGAATTAAAGAAGAAAGTGGCTTTTGTATCAGTGAAAAGACCTGAACCTCTTAAAACTAATGACACCATGGGAGTTCTGATTAAGCCAAATGATGGGGTTAATGCCAATGGTGAGAAAGAAGACTTGTTCTTCAGTTTGCTCACTGGGGGGAGTTAGAATTTAGAAATATGTTTTTTTTTTTACTTACTATTAGCATATGTTTGAGATATAACTATGAAGTTTCGTTTTGTTTATTCACATAAAGAATGTAGTTTTAGTCAAATTTTATATAAGAGAATGTATTTTTTTTAAATCAAAGTTTTACAGGCATTACAATATTTTTATCATTCTCTCTTAATGGTGGTTTTCTCGTATTTAAATGGATGAAGAAGATGATGATAAGACATGGTTTTTGGTTTTCTATGGTTGTTTTCTTGGAATTGCTGGAGCATAATAAATAACAGGGAATTCAGAAACAAAGACTATATGTTTAATGACCGATTGTTAAGTTGAAAAAAGACTCCATGTATATTTTCTACTGGATGTTCTCTAATTAGAGTTGGAGGATTTGGCAAGATCTGATGTTCAAGTCTTGAAAATAAGATCTAATGTATATGATGTTCCCAAATTAGATTTGCAGGACTGTGAAATGGTTTTTTGAATTCACTTGAGTTTAAGCAATAAGTTGGTGAAATTGTTCTTGAATTATGTGTTATTTGTTTAAGTTTGAGTTTAAGCAACCTATAAATGATATAAATTTAAGCAATAAAGACCTAGAAATGGTATGATGGATGGTTTGTGTTTGGTTTTTGCTATGGTTTAATTAGATTTGCAGGACTGTGACTAATGTGGCTAAACGACTTGTACACATGCTCTTAAAGTTGTAGCTAATAAATATAGTTGACTATTGAAAAATACGATTTTGCTTATATATTACCGTGTCATTATATTTCAAATTTTGTATAATTTTGATTATAAAATGTAAGATTTTGGGGTCTTAGAATATAAATTAACTTGGATAATTTATAGGACCGTTATTGCAATCACTTTCCAAAATCTGTGATTTCGACCCTTACGCCTAGGATATCACGGAATCTGATTTTGCATAATCCAAAAAAAATGCAATTTGGAAATCAAGTCACTTCCAAATTCAAAACACAGAAAAATATACCTTGTTTTGTGTTTTTCGGAGATAAAGAGAACTAGAAGTACGATTTTTGAGAGTAAGTTTGTAACCCGTTTTTTAGAGTAAGTTTGTAACCCGTTTTCTAGAACATACAATATGTTCTTATACAAGAGGGAAAAGTAGTTGGTGGTGCCAAAACAAGTGGTTGGATATATGGTTATAAGACATAATCGATTCTAACATCACAGTGATTTCAACACTTATAATTTGGCGGGAAATGCATGGTTGGAGCTTAACTCGTTATAGAAATCCGTTTAGGTTTTGGGGCGCTGCCGTTTGGAACCCCATCCGCTGACCGGTTAGCGGAACCACCGCCAGGGGCTGACTCGGTATTCCCGAGTTCACAATTATCACACCGAGTGTGCACCTTTAAACTCGGTTAGTAAATGAACTCGGCTTATCTCATCATTAATAATAATTACAGTAAAATATGTTGATAATACTAAAATCACCAACATAAAACATATTGACTACCAACTTATTTGGTACAGTAACATGTTGGTTGGTTTCATGTAATATATATATTTAAAAACCATAAATCCAAGTGGCCAAAAACTCTAAAGGTCAAAGTATTGTTTTTTTGGAAAAATATCATATTAACCCAACAAATTTCTTATGTTTGTTTTAAAAGGTCATTCATGTGTTTGTTTTTTTTATGGACATGGACTTTGTTTTTACCTAAAAACCATAAGTCCAAGTCAGCCAAAAAGTCTAAAGGTCAAAGTAATGTTTTTTTATGGGCATTTGTGTTTTAAAAGGTCGTTCATGTGTTTGTTTTGAAACGTTAACTCATTATAGCAGGTTTAATGTCACCTAAACACACACTTCTTACACTTGGATCCTACATGTAAGTGATAGTCAAACAAGATGAAATTTCCCAAAAAATTCAAACCATTAATTTTCTTTATCTATAAGTCAAAATTAAAACCAAAGATCAGGCGTTTCCATCATCTTCTCCACACCATCGATATCTATATCAAAACCTTCACAAAACCCACAAATCAAACACTTGTAGGTGAACCATCTTGTTTAATCCATTCCTTCAATTTAAAATCAATGTGTTTAACTTCTTCAGCAAGTTTACACCCACATAAAGTCTCAATCACTCCGATTAGAGTTTCCTAGATTTTACCTGTAACCAAACGGTTATGCCCGATTTCATTGATCAGATCCCATAAAAGGTTTATGTTTCTTGATTTTTCGACGACGTCGAGCATTTTGTTTACTGTGACGGGAATGTGATTGAAGGTTTGGGTTTGGGAGAGTTTGTGAAACTTGTAAATGAGTTTTCAGGAGTAGGGGAATTTGTTGCCGGTGTTGGTATGCTTCAAACCTATCACCATCTCCGCCACACCTTAATGGTGTCGATGTCGGTGCCGGTGCCACTGGTGCTTCAGATGACAGTCCAACTCCCCATCTGCCTCATGTTTCAAGTTTAAGCTACATGAGGTCCGGTGGGACTAACACAATCACTGTTAGTCTTAATCCATAAAAAATTAATATTAGCACTAGGGTTTAGCAGAGAAAGATGAAGAAGACTCAAAGACATTAAAGCCTCCTACTAAGAAGACAAAATGAACAGTAAGCCAATGGTGAGCACTTGGAGATTGAAACAACTGAAAACGGATGAGTTCTTGGCAAAAAACCAGAAACAAGATCTGGAGAATGGAAAGGAGTTTGAGTTGTGGGGCCAAGATTGCGATTGCATCAGAAACCAATGGTCATGAAGATGTGGCGATTGAAAAGCACAAGCAGACGCAGTTATGTGTTGACTGTTGAAGACTAACTGGAATGAGTTTGTGAAAGAGAACAAGAAGGATATGAAGCCACTAAACATATTCGAAAACTTATTACACGCCCTTACGTCACACAACTTTGATAGTGGGTAATTTGAGTTCCCTGAGATGAACACACTTTTGGAAGAAGACCGCCTAATTTATTATGAACCTCGTAACATTACATAGGTAGATTAACAAAATAAAAACTTTATTTAATAAGATTTCAAATAAGTAAAAGAAAACCGGATGACCCCTTATACTCATAAAATGGTGTAATTGACAACAAATATGCAAGTTTACTGACCTATTGCATAAAAAAAAATTTTTTTATGACTAAATCCGACAAACGTAATAAGTTCGTTAGATTAATATGATATTTTTTTTCAATGAAACTTTACAATCTTCCTCTCATTCAATATCTATATCAATATTATTTTTTTGGGCTAAAAATATGGTAAACAGGTGATAATGATTTTTTTTTTTTAACATTTTATAAATTTTTACTGTGTTTTTTAATTAATAAAATTGATATTTTATTACCCTTTTACACTTCTAAATTATTTTGCATTTACTTTCTCTATGTTTGTTTTCCATAATTATTGAAGATGTACTTTTTTTTAAATATTAAAAAAATTATAACAAACATACATAATTCATGAACCTGTCGAATCATATTTTATAAAGAGAAACGAATCACATATATAAGCGACCATACATATTATATTATGAAATTTTTGTTGACAAAACTTATCCTATTTTTATTTTGTTATACACAGATCTGCAAATTCTTTTTGAAATGAAAGGGTTTATAATATCTGTTAAATAAATAATCCATGTGCGTTTTATCATATTTACCGTTCTTATTTATTCAAATACATATGAAACACTTATAATCATTATGCAAGTCAACATAGAAACAACACATATGATAAATATATTTTGTACATACGTATAAGCTTGAAGATTTTTTACTTACCATTTTTAAAATGAATTTAAAAAAATAAAAATACAACAAATCCTTCTTAATAAATGAAGATTTTTTTGCCAAATATCAATCTATAATAAGTTTTAACACTTATTATTTTGTGATGTTTTTTAAATAAATAATATCCATATATAAATTTATGATTTTTTTAATTTTTAAAATTAAAATACAATATAATCTTAAAGATCAAATATAATAAATATTATAATAAATTTTAGTTAATATGTTTATTCATTACTTATTTCAAACTTTTACATTTAATTTTTTAATAAAATAATATCACAATAGATTTTAATAATATATTTACTAAAATTGATTTCAACAAGCCTATACGGCTAGACCATAGTCAACAAAAGTAGCAGGAAAGAAGGACGGGACATATCACACAAACACAAAGCAATTAGAGTAAATTACACGAATGGTCCTTGAGTTTGGAATAGTTTACGTTTTTGTTTTAACTTAAGGTTTGATTTCGAATCAAGCTTACTACCTATCATACTTATAATAATTATTATATCCTTATGTGCTTAATTTTAAATTTTTCTTTATTAATATTTTACCATTTTCATAATATTAATTAAAATAGAACCCACCACAATCTGACTCCTATCAAAAACTAACATTTATCTCTTTCTTTTCTCACACGTTACCTCTCTCTTCTCTCATCTTATCGATGATACCATCACCTCCAAAAATGACTTATTGTCGATGCACTCACCCCACTCTATAAAAACATCATCGCCGACACCTCTTCCTTTCAAACTATCACCCTACTATCTCTGGCCACCGACCTTTCCTTCCCCTTCATATCCGACATCTCTACCTATTTTTTTTTCTACCACCACCCTAATGTCTCCAACCCAAAGTGACATTGTTTGCTTGTTGTCGATTTCTCCAACCCAATGCGGCATTTTCTTATCAGTTACCCGTCACATCGCATCTTTTTGCCGCTTACCCTAAGACCAACATCGGTAAGTTATAAACCGTATACAACAAAACCACACTTGATTTCGGAGAATCTTTGAATCATTGAATCCACATATAATTAACCTACGCGGTTTTAAAAAAATGATGAAGTGATGTTTGGTCATAGAGAAAGGAAGAGTATTTTGCAGAGATTGGGGCACAAGATGTAGATATGTGACGATATTTGTAGAGATTGGGATGCTCTAATTCCTGAAGATCCACTTTACATCGATGGTGAAATCAGGCATGTCAGACAGGTAAACTCAATTCTATGAATCGATATGTAGTTGTGGTTGTTGATGATCAAGATAATAGAGGGGAGTGGGACAAAGATAGTGTTTTCCCCGATAAGAGAGTGGACAAAACATAGAAGATGACGATGGTAGGCGAAACAAGAAAAGGGGGAGGGTGAAGTAGTAAGACGTTAATTGTTAGTGTCATGGAACATGGGACCATATATTTTTTTAAGTTTGCATTTTAATAAAATACAAAAAAAAAAAAAAAAAAAAAAAAAAAAAAAAAAAAAAAAAAAGAAAAAAAAAAAAAAAAAAAGAAGAAGAAGAAGAAGATATTAAGGGTCATTTAGAAATTTCAAGCTAGAGACTAACTCCAAATAAAATCAAACCAAAACCAAAAGATAGATGGAAGTTAATAACAAAGTGTTAGAGACCAAATACATATATACCCAAACCAAGGGGACCATTATTGTAATTTACTCAAGCAATTATTTTGAAATTGGTTTCGGTGGTCCTTCCCAGTTGCTCCATTTCCCACGTAGATTCGATATTTCATGCCGGATCTTGTCTCAGCTTCCTTCTACACTGGTTATACGAAGTTACGAACCTCTATGCTTTGATTACCTTCCATCTATACACACATATGTGTCATATCTTCTTCAGTTGCTCACCCCTAAAACCTGAAAGTTCAAGAGCTTTGTATTACTAGAATAAGTTTTCAATTGGGAACTACTCTGCTTTTCGGTAAGCGTTCTTAATATTCTTCGATTAGGGTTTGATTCGTACCTATCTTGTTCAAATCTGTTTTCGGTACCTGAAGTACACTCAATAATGACTTCTAAGTTGTTCAAGCTCTTTATAATGTTCTATTAACAGATCACCATTGTTCACTAACAGACACGTTGAGGATGTGGTTTACGATCAGTTTTAAGATTGAGTATTAGGGTTTTAAATCTTTTTTTTTTGGGTATTGGAATTCTTGATTGATTAGATGTTGAAACTTGTCAATGCATCTGATTAGGGTTTAAATTAGGTGACAATTCATCATCTGATTAGGGTTTAAATTAGGTGTCATCATCAATTCATCATCCAACAAAGGTGTGAATCTTCCTTGCAACATGTTCATGTTTAAGGGTTTGCTTTTATTTTTGGAGAGTAAATCATAACAAATTATTTCTAATTTGAGTAACAAATTATTCTAAAACCAAAGGTGTGAATCTTGCTGGTGTAACAACCATCTCATTATCTTGCTAATTTTAGTAACAAATATTTCTTCGCGAATTGGGTCACTAAACTTGGGAAACCCATTATTTGAGTTATTAGTAACCATGATTTTGAATATCCAGTCACCAAGTGATTAAAAATGTTATTTTAGCGACATTCAGATAATGATTGTACATGTGAATGCTAATGAGTGTCTTCAATACTATTGAAAAAAAGAAAATAGTTTGTTACCAAAATTAGCAAAACTGAGAAAGGTGTATTTACTTGAAACATTGAAGAGATATTAAAAAGTGTCAAATCTAATTAAATATAGGGATATTAATATTTCATAGGTGTTCTTCTCTTTTTACTTAATTTGATAAGCTATATATGCGTGTTTCTGTGTGTCTTAAATCTTAATACAGAAAGAACGACTTAACAGATTATGGCTCAAACACTAGAAGCCATCAAAGGTGGTGGTGGATCCATAAAAGTTGGAACCACCGGCACCATCAATGCGTTAATGTCAAGGGAACTACAATCAGTCAAAGTTCCATCTCCAAAAACAACCTTGGAACAACCTAACAATGCTGCCATGGATTCAAAACCGAAACCAAAAGTACAAACAGAGGAAGCAACCGCCAGTTGCAGTGGTGGCACCACCGCGAATGAGAAAGAAACCGGTGGTGGTTCCCGGAAACCGAAGCATCACCATGCCAGAACGGCTAGCCGGAATCCTTTTCTCCGGTCTGACAGTGGGGATGGAAATGGAACTTCGGGTAGAAAGAAGAATGACAAAAAGGCGTCTTGCATTGTTGAAATTGTGGATGTAAAATGTGGAGTGCCCGATAAGTCGTGGGCAAATCCGATTACAAATAAGTTCAAGAAACTTAGTTTCTCAAAGCTTTCGGTGTAATGGATTTAGCAATAAACAAATTACAAAAATTTATCGAGTAAATTAGATTTTGCAATTTCAGTCCTATTTCAATTTTGGTCCCTTATTTAAGGTTCTTTAACGTTTCTTGGTTCATATTCCTAGTAAAATGATCATTTTGGGCCGTTGAATACAAATGTTTTTTTGTACTTTTTGTCTCGAAAATATTCATTACTTGGACTGGGGACAAAAAAAGAGTAAAAGAATCTCAAATAAGGACCAAAATTGCAAGAGAAAATATTGAGACTAAAATTGAAAAAACTAGCTATACTCGGGGACAAAAATGTTTTACTCCAGTTTATCCGTGTTATTTTAAATCATGGAAGGGATATGATAAGGGGCTTTTGTTGGCTACTTGTTTTTTTGTTTATTTATGCAAAAATATATCAAATTCTCCTTGTGTGGAAGGAAATCATTAGAAAGATGTGAGAACATGTCATGTGGAGTTGTGAACATGAAGCCAAAAACATGTTGTCTCCATTATGAGTTATGGCAATTGGCTTTTTGTGTGTTTTCGTAAAATTGCTTTTTGTACTTGATTGAATCTTTGACCAAAGTAAAACTACTTGAAAACATGTTTTAAAATGACTCTTTGTCCTTTTTCTTTTGGAAAAAAAGAATTGCATAGATTATATCTTGAAGAGATCATAAATGAAAGTATAAGTGATTAAACAGGCTTAATGCAAAACAGAGTGCAAAATACATCAATTACAACTACTTGTTAATGAACTTTTAACCCATTGAAATCTACAAACTGTGAATTAGGAAGAAAAAGGTTAAAATTTGACTAAATTACAAATTTCATCCATGTGGCTTGGCTTTTTTTAAAAGTTAGGAATTCAGTCAAGATGTTTTACTTTTTGCATGGATGGTCCCTATAGTGCATCACTTTCATTGTACTTATGACCCTTGGCTTAGAAGAGGCTCCATCAAGTTTAAGTAAAATGACTATTTTGCCCCTATGTTCATTTCCTTCATCTTCTTCAATGGGAACCCAAAAATATTATACCCAAAAATCAAACTAAAAATAAAACAAAATCAAAATCCAAGTCCATTCTCTTCAATGAATCCATAACTTTCAAGAGAGCACATGAACGAAATTTGTATGGTTGTATACACAAGCTAGTGTATTTAGCAGTTCCACACAATGAAATACCAAAAAGACCCTTGATCACTTAAAATACAGGGGAACAAGCTTCTTGAAGGTATCAAATACACTTGTGAAAGGATTAAACTCAACAGAAGACTTAAGTTCAAGATCAGGAAACTGATTGGTTAAAGCTTGTTGCATTCCATTCATGGACATCATTGCAGCTAATTTGCTATCCGACACCTCACAATCCTGTGGCGTATCCTTAATTTTGCTTGCATCATACCCAAAATCCGCCAACACAAGCTTGTATTTTTCTATAAATTTTTCCCCAGGATTTGGTGTCCTTGAGTATATCTGAAAACATAACAGAACAGGTTGTATTGTGTTTCACATTGTAAAGATTAACAAAAGTAGAATTCTATGTTGGTGTACCTGAATAAAGCTCTTGTCTTTTGCACCAGAAACAAGGGCGAAATTGTCATAATCTGTATCGATGACATCATAAGGTTCTTTAGGAATAAAGGGCAACGTGGGAAACCGGAGGTAACACTTTTCTTTAATCATTTCTTGTTTTTCTAGGTCTGTTTGTGTTTTCTCAAAATCTTCATCTGAAACACACTGAACCCTACCCCGTATACCAGTGATATACCCATCAGGCCCTCCATGCACACAGAATGTGTCCACCTGGATCGCTGGTGTTGCCATATCAATCGTATATACCCCCTGCAATCAGAATAACTGGTTACTGTCTACTGTCAACTGTCAACTGTCAACTGTCAACTGTCAACTAACTACCTGGGTGCAGTGGCAATCTTCTTGACCTTGTCCAGCGAATCCACGTTTAAGTGAAGCAACTTCATACCATCTTCCCGAGTATCGTACAGGATCAAAGTTTCTTGCTGTCATGCCTCTCATCATCATAAGATTTGAACCCTCATCAAGAGGAAGAGTTGGCATGTTGCTAGTGGTACTTGAAATCTGACATAAATTATTATGTGAAAGTTCTGTAGCCAAAACCTGAAAAGAGGGAATGATTACGTTAATTAATGTGTCGCTTGTTGAAGGGTATATTAGACATTTGGTTAGATCCACCAACCTGATTTGTTGAGGATAGAAGTAGTAAGGAAGAAGCAAGTGCTGATACGAGATGTGTAGTTGCATCCTTGATTGATATTGTTACTGGTGATTTGATACAACATTTGAACCTTGTATTTGCTGGCAATTTCCTGTATGTAGAAATGAAGGTTAGAGGATTTACAGTAACCGAGATTACAAATGAAATAGAAGCCATAAAGTTGAATCAACACTAACAATTGAAAACATTGGATTTCTAGGTTTAATCTTCTTTTGTATCATCATCCTTAATCGACATAAATTCAATAAGACAAGAATGATCCTGTTGAAGTACAGATACCCAAATGTAAATGCTATAAGAAAAAAGGCACCGATTTAAGACTCAAAACCCTAAAACCGATCACATTTGCCAATTCCAATCAACAAGACATTGCAATTCTGTAGCAATAACAACTCCCTTCAGGTCAATTATCCAAATTCCGCCAATTGAAGCATTAGGAAAACACATTTAGTGAATATATTAGGAGGGGAATTTTCACAAACCCTAGAGAGAAAGGGGATACCTGGCGATTGGGGGAGAATGCGGTGAAAGGAGCAATACCGGTGACTTTCCGGTGGCAATAGTAGAGAGGTGGCACGCCATTTTCGGCGATGACTCCAGAAAGGTGTTCTTGTTCAGCTGTCCACCACCATTGAAGATGGTCTGTCCAATGCGAGTGTGACACACAACCGTACGGATTTTGCGCCAAATTTCTACCTGCTTTTAGTTGTCGACGTCCGGTTGAGACTGCAAACTTTGATGCATAAGGTACAACCGTTGATGCATAAGATACAAACGTTGATGCATCACGTATAACTTTTCAATACAAAAAAAAGTAGTGTAATTTACAATTTTCTAGTTCGAGATATTTTAGGGGGTCAGTTATTATTATTATTATTATTATTATTATTATTATTATTATTATTATATACGTGATTAATTCTATATCAAAATAATATTTTACATATATTATAAATTTCTAGTTATAAGAGACTTTTAAAAATAATTTTTTTATTTATTGAATTTTTACAGATTATTTATATATTTTTATTACAATAACTTTAAAGATTTCTACGACAATAAAAGAGTTTATTTATTGCCACGTCTTCTCAACTAAAAAACTTTCAAAACAAACTATTTTTTTAACTGATATATATATATATATATATATATATATATATATATATATATATATATATATATATATATATATATATATATATATATATATATATATATATATATATATATATATATATATATATATATATATATATATATATAAAAGGAAAAGTGAATATACCCTTAAGGGTATATAAGCTTAAGTACCCAAACTCATAATAATATGTCGTTTTGTTTGATATATTCATTATAATATTGTTAAACTTCAATCCTTAACTTGATTTATATTCAATATTTTTAAATTTTCACTATCATCTTCCTTTTACATCACATCTTTTTGTCGAACACTTAGTAGGCTATATATATTATTGTTGAAAATGACAATTATGTAAGAGGAAGATAAATATGAAATTTATAAAAATCTTTGAAGTAATTCAAGTTAGAAGTTGAATTGTAAGAACATTGGATAATTACAATGTCTATATATGATACAAAACGATGTAGTATGATGAGTTTGAGTACCTAAGCTTATATACCCTTAAGGGTATATTCACTTTTCCCATATATATATATATATATATATATATATATATATATATATATATATATATATATATATATATACACCGCTGAAAGAGTTTATTTATTGTTTAAAACGAGACTTAAACTCTTAACCTCAAAGAGAAAAAAACAACATATGATACCACTGAACTAAAAACTCTTTTTCAAAACAAACTATCTAATATACTTTTTAAGTTAAAGTTTCATATTTCAAAGAATTATAATAAATAAAAGGATTATGATTTCCTTCGAAATCGCTTTGCAATTTCTTTTGGAGGTTACTTCCCCTAATTATGATTACACATACTACTCTACCACTTCATCTCCCCTAACCCTCCCTCTTTCACTCGGTTTTTCTTGACATTTTTGATTTGGTGTTCGATGAAATCAAATCGATATTAGAAAATATGCAAGGTTTCAGTTAGATCTTATTGAAAAATAATATCTAATTTTATATAAATATATGTTTGCAAATATATATTTTATATGTTATTTATTTTTATCAACCGTATAATACATGATTTATAATCTAATTATATTATAAAGAGTACATTCATTCTTGATCATATTTCATATAAAGTTTTGTCATGGACTACTTGAAATCTTTAACTATATCTTGTTGGTCTTTTTGTTAAACTATATAGATTAACCGTGTTTATTTGAAGAAGTATGTATTGACACACACTATTCTAGAAATAATTTACAAATAATTCTTTGCTATGCATGTTGAATGATATATTTTAGAGAAAACAATCATACAACATAAATGGAAATTGTGAGAAACTATAGGGCTTAATGGGGAAAGGAAACCCCAATAATTTACTAAATAAGTCATCACATGTTTAAATAAGTTTCAAACAAAAAACCTTATGTGACTTGCCTATAAATTATGAGTTTATTAAGACTTAAACATAAACCACCATAAGGCTAAAGATTTGTATCTAAATCAAATTCTATTGATAAAAAATCTTATAATATGTATTGTTTTTACATGTTTATTATTGGAATCTAACTGATAATAAATATTAAATAGAAATGATACAACTTCACAAATCATACATGCAAATATAGTTAAAGACAGGTTGCACAAAGAAAGTGGTTGCATAAAGTAATGAAATGATATATGATGTAACAACCTAACGAATAACGATCGTGAACGTGGACTTTGTTATTGAGGGCAAATTCTTTACGTCTTACAAAAAACAGTAAATAAAGTTTTTATGAAGAACCTATCAATCATTTGCAAAACAGGGTAAGAAAACATTATAACTTCCATGGAAATTTTATTTTGTGGTTTAAATGTTTATCACATGTTTAAATCAACAAAAACACAATAGTTAAACTTTTTAATTTAATATTATAAATATTTGTACGAACTATTAGTAATTTTTACAAAGTGAAATGTTCATTTATCTACAAATTTATATCTTATTATCTATTGATGTATTTATATTTTAGTATCCTTAAAATTATTTTTAACAAACCCAATTATGTCTCCTTGAACTCCATAAACCAACAATAATACTCCTTCTGTCCTAATATTATTGTCCACAGACAAAAAACACATAAATTAAGAATTATATTAATTACCATTAACTTTATTTAATAAAATGATAGTTTTGTTCTTACTTTGCATTTAATGTTCTATTAAATGCTTAATTGGTTAAGTAATAATGAAGGGGGTATTTTTGTAAGAATGTTATTTATTTTTAGAAATGAATTATTATTTTGGAACAAACCAAAAAAGAAAAATAGACTATAATTTTGAGATGGGAGGAGTATTACCAAAAGTTTGCATGAATAAATTGATCACCTTTTATAACAAAATGAAAATGAGAGGTAATTACATAAATTGATATGAAGGTCTATTACTCTGTTTCATTGCACATTTTCATTAAAAAAATGTTAATTAATTACATAAATAAGTCCTTTACTATTTTTTAAATAAAATGTGACATAAAAGATATCATTTTTTATTTTTATATACAACCAATTAATTAAATACACACAAAAAGAAAACATATTTACACAAAAAACAACATAACTACATATTTTCATCCCTGTCCTACCCCCTCCACTCCTTTACGTTCGCCCAAATGCCATATGCCTCATAAATCACCCCATAAGTAAAACATCAATGTTTTTGTTGTGGTGGGATTCAAACCTCATGCTTCATAGTAATAAGCATGAAAACTAATTTTGTAGTTTTTACAAGTTCAAGAGAGATTAAATTTACTAATTTAACAAAATGCATCATCATCTTTGTGTTCTCGAAGTAATGGATCTTCAAACGATGGAAGAAGCTCCAATAGAGAAGCCCATAAAAAATTGCACACACATATGACATTGAAATGGTATCTATGTTGGGAGTCTAGTGTTTGATGCAGAATCTCTACGCACGAAGTCTAAGGTTCAAATTCGGGCACACCTAAAATATATTAGTAATTGGTGGTTGTCAAGGCCAACACAAATAATAATCCTAAATATTACACACTAAAATAGTGTATAGTGGTAAAGGGATCGAATCCACGGAGATTGGTTCAATTTGATAACTCTATGAAAAATCTCTTTGTAAAAATACTTGGAATATGACAATAAATTAAAAATGGGGGTTTTGATGTTTTGAAAATACTTGAAACAAACTAGAATTAACTATGATTTAAATAGACAATTGCAACAAAAATAAGAATTTGATGTAAAATCAATAAGGGAGAGATGGTTGACTTAAAGTTTCCTCACTTTGATTTTTTATGAACATATCATTAGAATCCAATAGTGAAATACTTTGATTTAAATCCTTAATTTGGTTATAGTAATCCAAGGAGCTTGAGATTACCTAGACTTTTCTTAATTGTTGAAATGGCTAGAGAAGCTCATAACAATTTCCTTAGTCAAAGTCACTAATTCCAAATAGCATGTAATTAGTGAAAGTCAACTAGCATTAAGAACCAAAAAATCACCAAATCCAAGAGGAGTCAATTGCTTTCACCACCATGTTGGAGGAATTGTTTTTATGATTGTGTGAAGCAAAAACAACACAAAAATCACTTGTTGCTTGCTAATTTGAGGATCATTTACTTAATCAAGAAATTAGCCAACTAATCACCACAAACATATTTAAACTCATGAATAAAAACATACTAATAGTGATAATATGATGAAACACAAAACATTTCCATAAAGATTCAAGAACAAGTTCATAGATTCTTCAACATCCAACAAAAGTTCAAAGGATTCAACAAAAAGTCAACCAAGATTTGTTTAGCCAAGCATGGCTAAACTCAAATGAACAAAGTTAGATAAGATTGTACCAAACATTTGACAAGATTCAAGAGGTGAAAAGAAGATGTTCTTCAAGTGTTTTTAGCCTCCAAAAGTGCTCCAAACTCCAGAGAGAAAAGCTCAAAATCGGACCTCCAAGATTATGCTAAAGAAGCACACCAACCTTCCCAATATAGAGCTCTTAGCAAAATCCCGAAATTGCCCTTGTCAGGAATCCACGCGGGCCGCGGGTACTGACGACATTTTTGGGCTTCTTCAAGTTTTGGGCCTCCACAGCTAATCCATTGACCCAGTTCGAGTCCAATCATCTTCTAGCCCATTTTTCTTCAATATTTCTTCAATTTGAGCCCATATTGTCTATCCACATCATTCAAAACTTCCGCAAACTCCCAAATATTGATCTTGCATACTCAAGAATTCTCCCGCATCTTTCAAATTTAAAGCTCAATTCTTCCAAGCCTTCAAGCAATTGACAAGTCCACCCCATGAATCACCTTCATAGCCATAAAGCACGAAATCTCCAATTCCCTTCAAGCCCAATCGCCTCCCAAGAGTGCCGCCCCGCTAGTTTCCAAGAAAAATCTGCAATAATGCTCAAGAAACTAGAAAGTACCCCGAAATGGTCATAAAAATAACAAAAAGGGAAAATATGCATGGAAGTTAACTAAAATGCGAATGAAATGTACTAAAATAAACTATAAAAAGAAGTAAATAAAATGAAGCTATCAGTAATTCACGATTTTACCCCTATATGATAGACCTTGAGATATCTTCAACTTAGGGCATTCAAACGGTGCAATTTAACATTTTTTCACATGACATCAAAACACACAATTGATCTTGAGAAGGATTAAATTAAGTTTAAGATTGAAGAGTCCATGTATGAAAAGAG